GGCTTGTGGAAGCCTTGTAAGGACTAATTATAATTAGCCTGCACCAATAAGGAGAATTGTATGGAGGGATAGAATTCACACTTGATTCAGAGTGAATCATTCATACCCACTGCCTCACTAATTAAAACCTATAAGATCACACATCGAAAAGGAATTGATTGGGAAAGAGAATGAATGATTTTGTGACTTGGTAAAAGTCAATGTGAAAGTCAAAGGTCAAAGTCACTGCAGCAGTGGAAGTGCTCTTAAAACTACGGGCAGTGTAAAAGTTGGACTTTCATGAATAAGAAAATAATTTAATATCTTCTACTCCATCTTTCTAACTTTCTTTTTCTTCATTCTTTCTCTCTCTTTGAAAAATATATCAATCTCCTTCTAAAACATGGTAAGAGCATCTACAATGGGGAGGTGTAAATTCAGAAGTGTAAAGCCACGTTTACATCTCCTTTACACCTCCAGGAGATGCATATTGAAAGATGTAAAATATTAATTCATTTTTTGTATTCAATTTTTTTATGTTAATTTTTTGTGTTAATTTTTTGTGTGTTGGGTTTAATTATTTTTTCTAAACAAATCAATGTAAATTTTTATAAATTCTGATAAGATATAATTTCATTCAATATGATGTAAATAAAATTAATCTGAACCATCGGCTTTGATATGAATTTATTCTTCACCATTAATTAGTGTAGTTGTTAGTTTCATATTTCAATTTGAATGAAATCTGGCCATACATTAGAGAGTTTTTGGAGAATAACTTAGTACATTTGCATCATTTTTAATAACTTCCCTGTATTAATAAATCTCAACCACGCCCTAGACCCATCATTTTAATAATTTCCCCATCTTTTAGGTAGATTTCCTCTCTCCTCTCTCTTGGCTTTTCTGCTACGAGACCCACTTGGCTGGGTATAAAATTAAGAGATATTTATTCATATATCCATTCTTAGCACTAAAACTATAAATAAACCCTGCACCATTTAATTTCTACAAACAAACCTAAAAAATAACAGCTGGCCCTATTGAATTTAATTTTAATTATTAAATTACTTTGATGCCCCCATTGAGTGTTTTGGGCTTTTTTTATGAGGTTTTTGGGTTGGGTTTGTTTTAAGAAATCAATGGCAGTTTTGTAATTTAAAAGAAGTTATAAGCCTTTTTGTTATATTGTAAATGAGCTTTGGGTGTATTTCTAAAGTCCATTTCATATAAGGTTTTAAAATAATAATAATAATAATAATAATAATTTGGGCTCCTATATTGGGTATTTTAGTGAATCTCCCTAAAATTAAATGTACGTTTGCATCTTTTTCCCATCTCATGAATGTGATGTACATTTACAACCGTATATACCTCCCCATTGCAGGACATTCCGGCAACCAAATGTATTATTTGACATACACCTCCATATACACCTTACCATTGTGGATACTCTAAGAAAACTCATCATGCCATCCATGAACAGTTCGAGGTAAAGGCTAAACTAAAGATGAAATGTCTTGCTTGGTTATGTGAAAAAACAAAAAAACAACTGAAGGATTCATGCGTCCCGTGATTATTCCCATGGGTTTTGACTCAAAAGCAAAAGTGTGGTGTCCCAATTTCATGGCCGGAGAATGATTTTGGAGAAAGAAAAAAATGTCAGAAAGATGGTATCGCAAATACAAGAAACTATTAAATTATTTTTTATTCATTAAAGTCTAACTTTTGTGTCCATGGTTTTGAAGGGGCATCAGTAAAAGTTATTAGTTTAAGGCTTATTTTTTGTTATACTCCCGAAAGTGGATTTCAATCTCACTTTGCCCCCTGAAATTCATTTCGTCTCATTTTACCCTAAATTTCACACAAACTTGTCTCACTTCACCCCTTTTTCCTAAAATATTAATTAAAAATTTCAATTTCAATTTTAAAACTTAAAATTCATAAATAAAAAATTGTAAACAAAATTAATATTTTAGAAAAAAAATAAGATTAAAACAAAACAAAAACTACATCCTTACCCCTACCCCTCCACCTCCCCATCTGTCTCCTCCTACCCCTCCTTCTCTGGCCCCATCCTCCCCTTCTCTCTTTCTATGTTACCCACAACCCAAACCTCAGCCTCGCATTCCCTCTCTCTCTCTCTCTCTCTCTCTCTCTCTCTCTCTCTCCGCTCCTAAAAATCTTAGTCAAGTCTCATTTTCCTTAGAAGTAAAGGGAGACGAATCCCTAAAAATCAAAATTTTAGTAAAAATTGACCTAACTACCGTATTTCTAGCTTAGAGAAAATCAAGATTTTGTTTTTATTTTTTGTGTTATTTTGAGAAAAATGATTCCTTGTATTGAAGAAAGGGAAAAATAGCTTAGAACTCAAAATTACAAAAAAAAAATTAAATAAATAATAATAATAAAAATTTTTTTTTTAAAAAAAGGGACAAAGAATCAAAAGAGAGGCACCTAGTGGCAATGGGAGTGGCAAATTTTTGTTTTGTTTTAATCTTATTTTTTCCAAAATATTAATTTTCTTTACAATTCGTTTATGGATTTTAGTTTTAAAATTTCAATTTCAATTTTTAATTAAATTTTTATAATAAAAAAAAGGGGTAAAATGAGACAAGTTTGTGTGAAATATAGGGTATAGAGAGACAAAATGTGTTTTAGGGAGCAAAATGAGACTTGAATACACTTTCAGGGGGTATATCAAAAGATAAGCGTTTAATAATATAAGAAATATGTTGTACCGTTAGATGCCAGCTTTGATGTTTGCACTTTAATTAAAATCCAATCATCCTGATGTGAGCAATACTATATATATACCTAGTTACTAGGTATATATGAGATTATGTATCTCATTAGTAGATAAGTATAGAATAATATACCTAATTATTAGGAAAATATGAAATAATATACGTGACTATTAAGTAATATGAGATAATGTATCTGACATATAGGTATTATTTTTGTTTATATCATATCTGACCAAGTAACTATAAGCAAATCTGAGCAAAGCGAAGAGTCTCACATTGGAATATTACAAGATGTGTAGACTCCCCTCATCTACGGAAAGGCTATAACGAGGGTTTAAAGTGAGGAGGTTATTTGAGGAGGTCAAATATCACCATCAACAAATGTAAAGAAATTATGGAACTTAAATATTTTAAATGTTTTGACGGTCGGATCGGTCTCCTCAAATAACCTCCTCACTTTAACTCCTCATTGTAGAAGCCTCCCTCATCTATAAAAGGAGACCACTCTCCACTTAGGAATGGATCTCTGGGCTGGGCTTTATCTTTAGTCATGGGTTTCTCCCTTCTTCTCTTAATATTTGGGGCCCAACCCGTTGTACAAATGTAAATACACATTATTATGAGAATGAGAATATACTTCTCCGTGGACGTAGCCCATTCATTAAGGGTGAACTATGTATATCTTGTCTTCTGTATATTTATCGCTTGCCCCAATCCTCACACACTTGTTGAAGGTCTTTCCCTTCACCCATCATTCATCTCACCTTATCACTAAGTTGGGCTAAAAAATGCCGAACCATTTTTGAGCATCAACAATTTTCAATTTACATGATGAACAGGTGGTATGCGATATTTCATCATTACAACCAACAAGCCATAATGAAGGCAACAACAAAGACATAGGGAAAATGAGGAAAATTAGAAGATAATTGTCCATGCAGAAATAAGCGAATCCAAAATGATGTGGGGAAGAAAGCTATAACAGCCTATGTTAGTGGTTAATTGCATTGGTAAAGGTGGGAAAGAACATTAGACCGTATGAACTTCAAGCAAGAAAAACATGAAAAGGAAAAGTGAACTCAACGGAAAAAAATAAAATAAATCAAACCTAATAACAAATAAAAACAATGTTAGCATATGAGTGAGGAATTGTATTATCAAAGAAGAAAACAAACAAACAAAATTAATTGACACCAAAATAATGTACCTTGTGTACAGGTTACAATCTTAATAACCCAAAGCCAATAAAAGGCCAACGAGTTTTTTGGGTTAAAGAAAAAAAAAGGGACAACGTTATGTAGGCCTCCTCTTTATTCAAAACGATCATAGAATGCTATTAATTTGATCATGAATGCAATTAATTGAATGGAAAAACTAAAAAAAGAAACAAACAATGAATTATACAAAATCATTATAGTCATAAGCAATTCTTTCTCGTTTTCAACCAAAAGGGTAATATGGGAACAAAATAATAATAATTTCTAGTCAACCTACTACAAAAGGAATGTAATCGTATGTGGCAAAGTAGTAAGTGTAAGTGTACATATTTTCAATTTCAACAATTAAGTACTCGTATTTAAAAAAAATATTAAAATGTGGTTCTTCCCTGAGGTTGAAGACGAGGGAATCTGTTAATACAAATTTATAAATAAACTCAATCCTAGACATGTATTTATAAAAAAAACCCAAACACTATTTAAACATAGAAACACACTCAAAATCAACCATAAAGTCAACTTTTTGGGTGTGTTTATAAATGGGTTTTGAGTGTGTATAATGATGGGTTTTGAGTGTGTTTATATGTTTAAATAGTGCTTGGGTTTTTTTATAATTTCAACCCTCATTTTGGGTGTTTTAGTGAAACTCCCATCTGTTAATTGATGGCATGGAAGACATGGAGCTTTTATTTTTTTAATGCAAATAAAATATTGATAACAAATTTAATTATTAAATATGACAAATGAAAAAAAAATAAAGAATTTAGCTATTTACATACCACCCAAACTTTGCTTTTGGTGCTAATCTCACCAGTCTGATTTCTCATACGCCAAAAGGCTACCGAGAATAGCATATCACTATTGCCGAATTTTTTCTTTTTAATAATAGGACCCATGTGATAGGGGGGACATATTGGCCCGAAATTTAGATAGGGCAGCCCGACCCAACCCATTTTACATGCTTATAATGGATAGATGGAAAGTATCGGATCAATGATATTTTTGCGAAAAATCAACCAATAACGTGAAAAAGAGCATGATAAAATAGGTGGTATAACGTCAACATAAATATACATATATATATATGTATAGTAGGAGAGAGAATAATCGAACCTGGACTTTGGGTGCGTAAGTAAATGTTCTTAATGAATTGAGCTACAACTTACAAGTTCTTTACTATTGCCAACATATAGCATTATAAAAAATAAACTCCCCAAACTTTAAAAAAACAAATCTCCAATAATTTGGAAATTTAACACTGCAGCGAAGCTCAATGGCAATCTCTGTGTTCGAGAGGAGAGAGGTCATCAACAGAATGGAGTAAGGGGACCATGAATAATTCTTCTGAAGCTGAGAAGCAAAATGGGTGTGCATCATATGATCAACTTTTACAACAGCAGCAATGCAAACAGACCAGGAAATCAGGAATGAACAAACGAGGGAAAGGATGGATAAACAATAACAATCACTGCGCAATTATATACGTAGAAAATAAGAAATCATCTTATGTCTTATCAATCTGTTTTTTTTTCTTGCACTAAAATAGATTCAATGGCTGAAGTTACATTCGTTTATCCATTCTTCTGAGAAGGAGACAACCGATGTTTTGACCACTCTTCCAGAGCCCTGCGGTGTAGAGCATTCATCCTTATGTAAGGACGCTTTTCTCGAATTAATTTCTCAGCGTTTTTCCAATCCTCTGCCACCCCAAGAGCAACTAATAGTGCACACATTACAGCCACACTTCTTCCATGACCTAAAACAGACAACATAAAAGAGAATTGCTAATTACAACTCACTACCATCAGCCATGAAACATCGTTTAAGAGAAAGCAAACACATAAGAATTTGTTATGAGAAATATAAATGATTCTCCAAGAAAAGAATCTTCAAACTCCACCACTTGGAGAATGGGTGTTTGCATAAATTTTACTAGGGTTCCATTTGGATTTGTGTATTTAAATCAAAGGACTTAGATATAACAATTTACTTTAAAGCATTTGCATAAAATATTATAAGAACATAAAAAGACAGTTTTGATACTGTTAGTTATGGATGGACAAGAAAAATTCAAAATGATTTCAGTTCATCTGGGGGAAATGGATTTAGATTGATTGGAATCCAGAAAAACCAATCCAGTTTGCAGAATTTCTTTTTCTTATTGATTCCTTAGGGAACATGGAAGCATCCTGACTGCAAAAAACTCTATAACCAGACAGTTAGGGATTACAGTCTAAAGGATTATATGTAGGGAAGAGCCCTCAAAATCACCCCAAATCTCCAACCTCAGCATCTTTAGCATGTTTGGCAATGGCTGATCCAAATACTAGAAATCTGGGAAGCTCCATCTTGTTCGAGTTTTTCTAGCCAAATCATTCTTAAATCTCAGTCTAATTGCATCATTTCCAGTATTACTATACTAGAATAACCAGGTTATATAACCCATATCTTAATGAAACAAGACCTCACCAAGAAGCTGAAAAAATAAAAAGCTGTTTGTGTGTTTACAAGCTAAAAATTTGAATAGTCCTCTGCCCATATCAGGGTATATTCAATTCATTATACTCACAATTACATGCTTAAGAGTACAAAAATTACATTTAATAAGTGTGTGTGTGAGATGTACTGATGCAAGAGCATCTACAAGGCTCTTTAAAAGTACTTGGGCCTTTAGTCAATTGGGCCAGGGTTCTGGTTTCTTCTTTTGTTCTCCTATTCTAACTAGGATTTGGCTTAATTTCCTGTTTAGGTTTTTAATTTCCTATGTTAATTAGGGTTTATGTATTCTAGTATAAATAGGCTATTAAGAGACTCTTGTATTCAGTTTTTGTTGATGAATATAATTTCAGACTTAAGTCTATAGAGTTTCTAATGGGAGTTTTCCCTAGAACTCAATTATCTTCGTTCCTTCTTCTATTTCATTGCTTTATCCTTCTATTCCCTGTATTTTGGGTATGTTTGGGTCGCTGACCAGCAGCTTATAGCAGCTGCCCTGCATCATGTAGTGCAGAACCAAAAGTTGTGGCAACATTTTTTCTGAAAAGAAATGACTGGGCAAGGTCGTATCTCTCTTCAAAGAGTGACAGTCACAATAGTTTCAAGGGAAATTAGAATTTAAAAAGTATACGATATGATATGCCCCTTAAGTTTTCTTTTTTACATTTTTTTTAAAAAGATAATACATAAGTTCATAGTGCCGAGCATTTCAAAGATGTATCGAGAACCCAAAGCAGTGTGAATCATTTCACCCTCTTTTTGAACAGGGGCGGATTATAACACTTCTGTTGTATAAATATTTTCGTTTTATGTTGCATGAACAGTTCAAGGGAATTTAAATTTCACATAGCTGGTACAGAGGTGGAACTTATGCTATTAGAATGCCATCGAGTTTGGGGAGGGAAGTGAGGAAGTGGTAAACAATGGAGGATAGAGTTTTTTTATTTTTTTCTTCTTTCTTTGGGCAAAGAAACATAATTATATTAAAGAAGGAAAGATAATTACAAAGAGGTAACAGAAGGAGGTTGCTTAGGTTGGAAACTTAGTGGCTTGAGTTTGGATAGGTAGAATGAGGTACCAGAGGGAGCAAGGAGGAAGAAGAGGGCTTCTAGCTCAACGACAGTAATAAGGGTGCTAATTAGAAACTTTATCGTGGTATGAGAGCAGGAGATCCTGAGTCTGAATCCCTGCAATTGCATCGTTCCTATATAAGTTTGAGTCCGCATAGTGTTCTCAGACAGTGGAGACAGACCTATATGTGAGGGGCCATTAGAGAATATAGAAGCTTAAGCTTTTTGGTAAAGTGGTAAACCAACAAACTTTGTCAATGCTGTTACAAATGTTTTGTATTAGGTGCAAGTTTCCAACGTCAGTAACCTTCCATGGAAATTAAGGAATATCAGATAAAGCTGTCGAGGAGAGGAAGTCTGGGGGTTCAGGATAATATGCCTAATAAAGTTCAGATGATTAAACAAAGCCCTGGTAAGTTCTCTACGAATGTCCTTCCAATTCTATGGAGGAAGAGATTGCTAGGAAAGGGCACGAACCATCAAACATAGTTTTGGGTGAGGGGCTGTATCCTTTGGCAGTGGAAGAAGATACCAACAGAAACAATTTACCAAATTGGAAGGTTAAGACGCGGGGCCATTCTTTTCTCATGATAATCAACACTAATATGGACCTAAACAATGAGGACTATGATTATGAGGGCCCCACTAGGAAATATGCCATGATTGAAGCATAAGATTCCTTGTCTTTACCCTGTTGGCTTTCCTTTGTTTTTGTTTTCTTCTTCAGGAACAAAGTTTGCAGGAATGTGCAGGGTGCTGTGCAGGCAGTAAATGCTCCTGGCCTCGGGTAGAGAGGTGATCAAGTACTATGAAATGGAGGTGTTTGCTATTTTTGAACCTTGGATAAGTAAGGATAAAACTGGTACAACGATCAACAAGTTGGAATTTCCCAAAGATCAAGCAAAGGATGCCAGTGGTTTTGCAAGAGGTATTTGGATATTATGGGAAGTCAGAAGAGTATCTACTAAGATCATGACTACTAATGAACATGTCATCACAGCAAGCACTGCTTCCGCAGTGGTAAGAACTGGCTTTTTGTGTTGCACATGATGGCCCTGGCCTACTCAAAGAACTGGGTTGTGGAAGTTCCTTGTTGAGGCTTCTGAGAGCCATTCATTGTTTTAGGTGCTGGCTGGATACTTTTAATGGAATTCATTTTAGCAGTGAGAACAATGGGGTGTGTCCGCAAGCACAATAAAAGGTTTTAGGCAATGGATTGATAGGGAGCCTATCATTAATTTGGATTCACAGGACCCAAGTTCAGAAGGTCCAAAGGCTGAGAAACTGGAAGAGTTGTTACGGTGATGATTGATACAGGGTGGAAGAGTTGTTACGGAGATGGGTATGCAATAGGGTTTATATCAGACATTGTCAGAACCTGTTCAAAACTATGTCAAATTATTGTCCTCCTATGTCTCTCTTGGAGTCAGATAAGATTCCTAATTATTTTAGGTTTTAGGTACTTGAATGAAACATGAGAACCTTGGTATATTGGTGGATGACTGCTGTCCTAAGTGTCGGGATGTTGGGCTCAATGAAGCTTAAGAGTCCATTGAGAAAGAGGTGTTGAGTAATTTGTCTCACAAAAAGAGAAGGTTGTGAAGGAATTCAAAAAGCTTTGTACATAAACTATTCCCCGTTTCTTATCTTGCAGGAGCAGTGGTTGATCAGAAGGCAAGAAACTCTTGGCTGAATGAAGGTGACTGAAACGATAAGACAGTGTCCTCAGGGCTTAATTCTAAGGCCAACTTATATGTGCATTGCAACAAAAATACCTCTTCTGAACTATATAGGTATCTAAAACCAAAATACCAGACACTTCTTATATAATATATCCAAAGCAAGAAGAGCTCAGAATGAATTAGAATTATCAAATATGCATTGCAACAACAAGTGGCTCTCATCATCAGCATGATATATTAACAAAAATGAACTCATTTTGCAGCATACCGTATGCACAGTGGACCAAAACAGGCCTTTTCTGGTCCCTCTTTCGACAAGCCCATTTGACAGCGGATTCAATGGCGGCCGGCTGAGGAGCCCTTGTGTCCCATGTCGGGACACACAAATAAGAATGCCCTGAAAACTCCGGCCTTCTTGGCAACTCACAGGTGCAATCAACAATGGCAGGGTCATCTGGTGGCAGTTTATCAGGAGAAGAAGGCCATCCGCCGACATACAAACCCTCGCAGATTTCACTATAAGGAGCCTCTCCACTGAGCAATCTTCGCAATGCCGAGAAGAATCGGACAAAATACAAATATGGGCTGAACATAATGATTGACCAAATTGGGAAACTCCCATCTGGGTTCTTGCCCAACAGCATGGGAAGGTCTATGGATGGGTGAGAAGCTAAGGAAACCAACATGGATACCAAAGAGGCATACAAAAATGGAATTGATAGCAGAGTGAAACCTAACCTTCTCAGGTTTGCGAAGAAGAAGAAAAGCACTGCTGCTTTCAACCCTATCAGAACTGATAGGCCGACACCCATCTTTGCTCTACCCAAAATTCACCCCAACACTGTTTCTTGGTTTTTTTTCTTAAGAAATTGTGTCAAAGCCCAGAAAACGAAAATCAGAAGGTGTATTCAATTAGGATTTTAAAAGACTATTTATAGATAAATAAGTCCAGTGAATTTTAAAAGACTATTTAAGAATGTAATGACTTATAAGATTTTTTTTAAAGATTTTTTATACTCATGATTTTTATCTTGGGAGTTTCACTAAAACACCCAAAATGGGAGTTGAAATTATAAAAAAAACTCAAACACTATTTAAACATATAAACACACCCAAAACCCATCATTACACACACTCAAAACCCATTTATAAACACATCCAAAAAGTTGACTTTGAGGTTGATTTTAGGTGTGTTTCTATGTTTAAATAGTGCTTGAGTTTTTTTATAAATACATGTTTAGGATTAGGTTTATTTATAAATTTGTATTTTATCTTCGGATTTTAAAGATTTATATCATAAGAATTTATAAGATTTGAAAGGACCACATGGACTTTTTATTTGTACGATGCTAACCAACCAACTAGTTGGATGATGAGCAATGTCTAGTTCAATGGTGCACGAATTCTTCAGGAACAACCTCTATAACCCAAGTTTTCCAAATGATGGTGGAATTTATCCTTCCCAAAGGTTTTATGATAGGTATAAGGTTACTAGGCTGCGGACACTTGGTTCAAATAATGGAATGGAGCCATAAATATAAAGCCAATGAAAGTCAATTGCTTAAAGTTGTGAGCACTTGCATCAACAATAACATAAGCGGGATCAAATGGAATGGAACTATAAATAAAAGCAAACATTCAAAGTTACAAGAGTCAATGAAAAAGATAATAAAGAAACACAATTTTAACAAAGAAAAGTAAAATTCAATAAAGTTTTCCCAATCTTTTAATAGCCAATTTGATATAGCTTCATGTCCTCTTAAGTAGCATTTCTCCACATATCTAAAGCTATGGTAGCCCTCCATGCATTAGCATTTTCTCTTTTCTGCTCTTGGGTTTGAACAATATGTTCCAAATTATCTTCTTCATTAACTGGTAATACTGAAGATGAAGATTCGTCTACTGGTTCAATTGGAAATTCATCAGAACGACACTCTTTGTGAAGAAAGTTATGTAGTGCTATACATGCTAACACAAGCTCTGCTTGTGTCTTAAATGGAAATGGAGGCGCTGAATTAAAAATTGTGAATCGTGATTTAAAAATGCCAAATATCCTCTCGATCACTTCGGCTTGATTGTTGGTTCCAACTGAGCTAGAACTCCCTTCATACTCGGATCTACTTCGCTTATTGTGGCTTGGTTTTTAAGTGGGAACCTCCGAACCTAAAGGGGATTGAGATGGTGGACTACATTGGCGGGGTGATGGAGGCTAGTAGGATGGTTCATAGTGATTTGGTGCTATGAACGCATCATTGTTAGGATTATATGAAAAGTCTTCTATCCCAAAATCTCTATTTTCTTCCCCATAAGTTGTTGCATTAGTATCATCAGCACACAATGCAATGAAGCCATTCCTAGTAGCAGTTCCACCCCCAACAACAATCTTCAAATCCTCATAATCAACTACACTTTTTTCTCGAAGTTTATTGTGACTTGGGTGAGACTAGCAAAGAACAAATTATTCATTGTTAATATATTGCAAATAACAAATTGTACTAAACTAGTAAGCTATTAATATATTTAAAAGATTATGAACTAAGCTCACCTTCAACTAATCTTTCCATACTTCATCACTAGCAGTGAACGTGCAGAGGCGGACCATACAGTACATACATGATAGCCATAAATAGACAATAAACGTAGACTATATATATATATATATATATATATATATGTACGCAGACCATAACCAACAAGGAGTCAAAATGAATACATAGAATCATAGCAATCTTTAACCATTATAAGTAAGCTTGAAGGCAATTGTTGAGAATAATAAGTAATAGCTATATCTCGCTATTATTGTTGAAGCCTGTACAACTACAAATCATGAAAATATAAAGTAATAGCTATATCTCGCTATTGTTGAAGCCTGTACAACTACAAATCATGAAAATATAAAGTAATAGCTATATCTCGCTATTGTTGAAGCCTGTACAACTACAAATCACCAAAGCCAATATGAGCAACAACAGCTAACCCATCCAAACCATAAACAATAATTGTTTGATTCTCCCATACACCCCCCGTATATAATACATGATAGCAACATGGCATATAGCAAATATACAGACAATAAACGCAAGAAGACACAGCATGAGAAGGAAGTAATACCTTGTTCACGAAGAACTGTTCAACTTCACAAAGAGCTATTCAACTTCTCTAGCAGAAAAAAAAAATCTCACGTGAAAAGTCTGATTGGTTAGGGTGAGATTTTTTATAGGGTTTGGTATTTATACCTTCCACTAAAAAGTCACAGAAATTCCTAATTAAAAAAAAAAATCCATCGAAATTAACAAGTTTTTGAATACCAAAAGACTTTTTGTTACTTGTTTAAAGTCCTGATTAAATATCACTAGATTTGGACACCCTCTTTAAAATATCCTAATAGTCCTGATTGAATACCACAAGACTTATTTAGATTACTTAAAAGTCTTAATTGAATACTACAAGACTTATTTATCCCAAAATAGTCTTTTAAAATCATAATTGAATACAACCCCCTAAGAAACACACACCAAGATCCTCAGAGAGAATGAATGAACACAGTTTGGGAAAAAGGACCAATAAAACATCTTTCTTTTGCAAACTTCCAGAAACCCTACAAATTGCCCCCCTCCGTTACCTAAACCGCTAGTGAGTTTATTAAATGCTGATGTGTCAAAAGTGATATCCATTTTTTTATGACGTGAACTTCCACGAGGACAAAAAATTAATAATAAATTATTTTACTATTTAAATTATTTTAAAAAATCTCTCTCTCTCTCTCTCTCTGTGAACCTAGAACTATCCCAGCCTGAAACGAACCCAGAACTCTCTCTCAGAACCCAGAACCATCCCAGCCTGCAACAAAACCAGAAACATCCCATCCATAACCCCACCCCCATCTCCAACCATCATCGCCGCAACTCACGAACCCAACGCCTCAGCAACCACAGCCACACCGCAATCCACAAACCCCAGCCACCCCACAACCCACAAACTGTTTGGGCCTAAGAAATCCACGCGCCATCCCATTTTCACAAAGAAGCCCACAAAAAAAAAAAAAAAAAAAGAAGGATGAGACCTGACTCCAGAAATCAGCCCAAATCAACATTAGAGGCCCATGTCTTTTGCAAAAAGTGGTAGAGGTTTAAAAAATACAAATAAATAAGTAAATCAAAATACCAGTTAAATGGTAATTCGTCACCAAGCAGTCGATAAACTTCTAAGAAATTGGATTAGGCTCAGCTTCTAAAGAATTCTCGCCACTTGATCTCAAAAGCAAGTCAGGAGATCTTTTCTTACAAAAAATGATTTTTTTAGAAGAGCTCCACGTGACTACCTGACATTGAAAAGTCAAAAATTTCAACTATCACAAGGGAGTTGACAGAGAGTTAATGAAGACATGTATAAAAGGAAGACTTATTTGAATCTTTGCAGCCAAAAGATCAAAATCCCTTTCTATATACAGAGAAATTCTGCAACAGAGCAGGTTTCATTTCCAAGGGATAAGCAGACTATATTTTCTAAAGAGATAAGTAGGAAGCAGAGAGTTGTTCATCAGGAAAAGCAAACTAACCATCATGGCAGATTGCATTCTTACAAAGGACGATTAAAGAGTAAGAAGGGATTAGGTTTTCTTTCAGGAAAAGTATTGAAATGATCACCATAAGAACTGACTGTTGATAGCTTTTCTGCCAGAATAAATAACTTCCCCTTTTTATGGCATTTAAAAAGAAAGATCTTTTGAAATTATTTGTAGCCCATTATTTAAAGATTAAAAAACCCCACTCCAGCATTTTCTATAAATATGAGAGGAGGTGAACAGATCAAGGGACAACCAAAAAAGCAATCAAGACAAAAACTCTCAAAGTTACAATTGACAAACTCAAAACGATCCATTTGATCTCAAAAGCCTTCAAACACTGAAGCAACCAAAGCTCATTGAGCTACACGAAACAAGTTAGCTAGAATTCAAGTTTTTTCTAGTTAGCTCAGAGAAACAGTTTTACAAAGCTAGATTTCTCTCGTTACAAATTTGGTTCAGCACAAAGCCAAATCAAGTAGAGTCCAGGTTTTTACAAATATGAAAATCTCAACAAATTTATAGAAAGCCTTGGTCAAGCAGAACAGGCACCATAGAGCAGCTCCAGCTCAGTGATCATCAATCCAGCTACTTTTACCCTCTCAGATTGAAGAGGCCTTAATTCTACCCGTTCCGCAAGCCTTCCATGGCCTGAAATAAATTAAAGCTTTGCCAAACTCAAACGTTGGTATCGATTTTCAACTGAAACTCATCAGTTGAAGGCGTTGACGATCCAATCCAGCTCAGACACATCCAATTCAACCTGGTTTAGAGGCAGTTATCCATGCAGAAATCGAAGTCCAACATCCTGTTGTCTTGTTTCAGAGTTGTCAATTTTATTTTTTTTTGAGTCCTGTAACAGGCAGTTCTACCTAAAACAGTTACTTTATTTTTGTCTATTCTGGCCAGAACTACCCATTTTGTACTGTGAAAAATTATGAAGTCCTCACCAGTCTAAGACAAGAAAAGAACTTAGAAGATATTCCTCACCCAAATTCACAATTGCTAGTTTGGAAATCAATAACTTGGGACACAAATTATCTATTTTAAAGAAGTTTGCTAGGGTTTTTATTGCTAGCAGTGACACGCTCATATATAAAAGAAAGTTGACTTGTTGACCACTAATGATTTTCAAGCTAATGGAGAACTTTATCCTACCTTCACAGGATCAAAATCAAAACGGGTGAACAATTTGGCACGCCCAGTAGGACTTCTCAGTACACATACTCCTAGAAAAATCTTCTAGTATATGAATATTGGAAGTTCTAACCAGAATCCACGCTGTGCCATGGAAAGAGATCAAGCAGCTCTCCAAGAGGGACTTGAATCAG